AAGCACAGGGACAAATAGCCAAATGAATGGAAACACATGAACTATGAACCAAAGGCTGAGGGGCCCCCAACTGGATCAGGCCCTCTGAATAGATCCAAGGGATGTTTTTTAAAGTAGGGTTTGAAGAGGTAAGTATAAACTACCACAGCAGGAAGATGAAAAGAATTATATGCAAAAAACCAAACCTGACAAAAATCAGTGTATGTGCAGCACAGGTACCACGTGGCTGCCCAAGCTGAGCACTGTCCATAGTCAGCAAAGGCTTTACTGTTCACCAGAACATCTCAGGCAGACAGCGCCAGGAAAGTAAAAGGAGGAATTTGTCTTCTCTTATTTTCTAAATACCACTCGGGTGAATGGACACTCCAGGGAAATTTCTGCCATTCTAGGGACAAGAAGTTCTGTGATAGAAGTGAAGGATCCATGCTGAACACAAGGGGGATGGGGTGAGAAAAGAGACAGGTACCCACGAAGCTTGACTCAGTGGCAATGGGAGCGGTAGGAGGAGGCGGCGCCTGGTGTGACAAGCATCTCCTCCCACCTGGAAGTGGTGTGAAGCACTGTTTGTTTGCATCCATATTTTCCTCCTATCCAATATTACCCCATTTGGGAGATTTGAATCCAAGCCATGTCAGAAACAAAGCACACTCTTACAATGTAAATGTGAGATAGTTAAATGTAACAAGCTCGTTCTGACTCTGCGCTTCGATCCGCAGACATGGTGTTGGATGGGGGACTAAAATAACGAAATAACTGTTAAAAACCACTTCCGAGATTATTGTACAATGTTCCCTTCCTGGACACTGTGCTAATTTATGATGACACTTGTCCTTCTTTCTCCAGGTTTTCAAAATCTGGAAGCTTTCAAAGTTCATAGTAATGAAAACATCCACTGGCAGAGTGATTAGATTCAATACTCAGAGAAAGAAGTATGTTTCCTAATTTTCTCCCTGAACTTTTATTAATTATTCTGGTATACTGTTTTATGTGTCAGAATTCATAAGCACTGATAATGAGAGAGGTTGTTAGTAGCTGTCCTCGAGTTTCTGGGCCCACTATGGAGAGATGGAGTGTGGACAAAAAGAGACATACATTTCTCCTGTACCATTTTTGGGGACCGTTAGAAATTAGCACGAGCCTTACATAACCCTTTCTTCTTAAACTTAATTCAAGATGTGAGATCCTCAAAACTCTAGAAGAGAAAGCTGGAAGCTAATTCAAGGAGCTGTGTGAGCCGCCATCATGCTTCACCTACGCAATTCGACTGTGCCTAAAGAACCTCCCAGGAGCATGCGCTGTCCATCAGCTTCCCCTCACTCCCACTCGGGGCTTGTAAAATGGATGGCAAAACACTATTACAAAGTGACTCTTTTCGAGACAGGGTTTCTCTGTGTAGTTTTGGTGCCTGTCCTGAATCTTGCTCTGTAGACAAGGCTGGCCTCGAACTCACAGAGATCTGCCTGACTTTGCCTCCCAAGTGCTGGGATTAAAGGCATGCACCACCACCACCCAGCCACAAAGTGACTCTTGTCATGAGACACATCATGTTCAGGATGCACATGGTAGCTAACTTCATGTTTGGAAAAGAAGGTGATCCCTTACAAGTTTTTACAATATTGTGTTTGAATTGATTTTTTTTTTTCAGGTGGTTGAATTTTGCACAGAAAAAACCCACAATAAAGAAGCTCCAAACCTACAAAACAAAATGTGCAATTACAGAAGCACGTGGGACGTAATCAAGAAGTCTGCTGATTTTCAGAATTCCTCTCCCATGATAGGAAGAGAAGCCCCGCCCAGACCTGCATTTTCACTGCTGAAGTCCAAACAGCGGGTAGTCTGCTTGGTGCTAGATAAATCTGGAAGCATGGAAAAGGTAAGACACTTTTTGCTGACTTTTTCAAATTAAGTATTTAAGTTAAATATAGAACTATAATTTATTCTTGGATTTAGTTCTAGTAAACCAACATAAATATTCATATTCAAATATATAAAGATTAATGTTCAAATAAATATCTGCCCAATGATTTTATCTAAATAAGTATCTAGACTAAGATTTAAAAAAAGTTATTGTTTTATTGTTCATTAGATTATTGGTCATTTTTACTCCTTAACTGTCAGTTCATCCTAGAAAAAATACAACAAAAGGAAACATCTACAATCTCATCATTCCATGTCATTCCAGTTTTACTTTTACTACTCTATTTGCCTTTCCTCTACAAAACTGTTACACTTTAGATATGAAAAAAATTGTGTGGGGTGTGTGTGTGTGTGTGTGTGTGTGTGTGTGTGTGTGTGTGTGTGTGTGTGTGTGTTGCTGAGAATTGAACCCAGGGCCTTTTACATGCGAGGCAAGCATTGGGACACTAAATAATTTGGGTTTTTTGTTTCTTTGTTTTTGAGACACAGTCATGCTGGGAGCCATAGGTGGCCTGCTGTTAGCTTTGTCACTGGGACGGGTCTCAATCTTGTGTCATTCATTCTGTCTCGAGCTTCCAGGTGCTTGGACTGCAAGCATGTAGGCCCATTCCCATGACGCAAATTGTAAAATATTTTTGTCATGATTTCATAATGTATGTAATATATTTTGAACATATTCACCCCACCACCCTGTCTTGTCCCTTCTCTCTCCATCTCGACAAATATCCCTACCACTTTGATGGGTGTTATAGTAATAACTCACTGAATATAGAAAATATAGGCAATTTATCAGTGGCTACCTGTGAAGAGATATGAACCCCCTTCCCCAACAGCCCTCATAGCTTCTCATGAGCCCTCCCCCACCCATACTGCAATGCTGATGGACCTGACCTTGTCAGGTCACCACAGCCGCTGTGAGCTGATGAGTGCAATGGACACGTCAAATCCAGAGGACAGTGATTCATGGCTCCAGCTCTTACTTTCTTCCCACCTCCTCTCCTGCCATATTTCCTGGACTTGGGGGAAGGCAGAATATAGAGGTCCCATGAGCACATTCCAATGAGCACCTTCTTATCATTTTAAAAATCATTTCCTCAGCTGAAACTTCCAAATTGATAACTGTTGCATAAAATGGCATAGACTTTGAAGGCTTTCACAGCCATAACAACTGATGTTTAAACATTTTAAACTTTTTAAAAATATGAGAATTAAAAATTTTTTTAAGTCCATTAACTATTACCATGTTCTATGGCCCACGGACAACTTTGTCTTTCATTAACTGTCAAGATTTAGAGACTCTGCAGTTGTTCATCCATCCTTTTCTTACAGGAAGACCGTCTTATTCGAATGAATCAAGCTGCAGAACTTTATTTAACTCAAATTGTTGAAAAGAAATCTTTGGTTGGATTAGTCACATTTGACAAACATGCCAAAATCCAAAATTATTTAATGGAAATAACTAACAGCAGTGACTACCCAAAGATCACTGCAAATCTCCCACAACAAGCTTTGGGTGGAACTTCAATTTGCAGTGGAATTAAAGCAGGATTTCAGGTAATCTTTTAAATTTAATACAACTTGCCATTTACTTACTGCTTTCCATCCTATTCATTTAGGTTTGAACACGGGTCATTAACTCAGAGTTCCAGCATTTAATAACATTCTGATCTGGATGAGACAAAGCATTACTGGAAGAAAATAAAAAGTAGCTTCACCAACTATTAATTATAGCCATAGCCTCTCAGCATCAGTTGTTCCACTGATAAAATCTTGAGAGGTTGAGTGGCACTGGGGAGTGGATGAGTGAAATCTCCTTGGGCAAACGATCATCAAAACCTCACTGAGGAGCTACACATTTCTCTGGACTCTCACACTTGAGTTTCTATGTATGGAAGATAATGTCATGGGCAGAGAGAAGTCAGTGACAACTTTATAGTATGGGTAAAAGTCATTAACACATTAATTTAAATTACATTTAAAAATCCAGAGAGAGGTAGCTCTACATGCAATATGAAATGAACATAGGTGGATATAAAATAAATCATGATTGTAACTTAAAAATGTTGAGTTCTGAGGCTGGAAAGATGGCTCAGAGGTTAAGAGCACTGGCTGCTCTTCTAGAGGTCCTGAGTTCAATTCCCAGCAACCACATGGTGGCTCACAACCATTCATAATGAGATCTAGTGCCCTCTTCTGACCTGCAGGTGTATATGCAGACAGAACACTGTATACATAATAAATAAATAAATCTAAAAATAAAAAAAAAAAATGCGGAATTCCTTTTGACCAGCATGCTCAGAGGTTGTGATGTTTGCCTAGTCTTCTTCCTGTCAGGCTCCACGCTAGTGTATTGATGCTCGTGTCTGGAGTCACTGAAACAGAAGGCTGTTTCCTCCACTTGGAAAGTCCTCACTGCTGCTCTGTGCAGACCATTAGCTCATGTCTCTCTTAACTTCCTTTGTGGCTCCCATTTGTCAAAAAAGAGATTGGCTTTAAAAACCTGAGATACTCACTCTACTGTGAATTATCTAAAAGATCTTGGGAACGTAACTCAATAATGAAAATCTGTTTCCTGAACCCAAATGATACGGGTATTAATGCTGTTTAGCTCATTTAAATGTGGCACATATGTAAGATAAGTAAGTGTTTATGGAAGGGTTGCTATTATGAAAATAATTATGTCTATTCAGTTCTAAAATATGAGTACTATATATTAGAAACATACTTAAATGATTGTATAAATTGGTGTATGTGTTTTTCTTAGTAAATTTTATTATATCTTATATATTGGTCACAAAGTTTATTGCTGGACAGATGATGGCAAATTACATTTAGTATTATAAACATCTTTTACTTAATGAAATCTTATAAATACGTTAAGTGTATCACTTTCAGAATCATTAAAAAGTAGCTGTTGTTGACTGTATACTACATTATTGTCTGTACTAAATGCTTTAGATGCATGATCTTATATCCTTATCATTTTAGGAGTTGGGTAATATTGCTATGACCATTCTGCACAAAAAGAACCTGAACTTTAGAATAACAAAATCTACCTCAAGATCATAAAACAATTGCCAAGTCTAGGATTCAAAACCTGATTTCTGGAGTCTATAAACTTGATCATTACACTAACAATCTGTAAAGTGTGATGTGTGTGTGGTGTTTGGGCAAGTCTCAGGAAAGACTAATACAATAATTCATGTTTAAAAAATAGAATTTATTCTCAAGGTACCTAAAACCAAGGTATCTAACACCACCTAGACTCTTAACTAATACACTTGGTGGAAGTCAGAAAATTATGAAAACCAATTATAATGGAAAATTTATCAACTTCTTCCTTCATGATAAGCCAAAGTTGTTTAGTTTTGTCTTTGGAAAGTCATGAATTTTTTAATTGTAACTAAATAAAATACATTAAAAAGTCACATAACAAATAATTCAATCTTGCTCACCCAACTTTGATCATGATCTTGCAAATGCCATTCAGTCTGAAGCCTTCTACAACTGTCTGGGAGTCTCGTGTCTTCATCAAGTATTCAGTGGAGTGAGAACAACAGACTATATTTATTTATTAAGTAGCTACTATATGCCAGCAACTGTCATAGATTTGTTCTACCTCAACTAAGTAGCCAAAATGTGTATATCTAGAGGATTAAAAGTACTGAGAAATCTAATGTTCTACTCATTTCCATATATCAACTCAGAAAGAGAATGTAAAAAATGTGTGTTCTTAAATTTATTCTGAAATAACACTCTGTAATTAACACACTGCTTTTCACAGGCAATTACTTTGAGTGACCAGAGGACTTCCGGTTCTGAGATCATATTGCTGACAGATGGGGAAGATGGCCAGATAAGTTCATGCTTTGAGGAGGTCAAAAGCAGTGGTGCCGTCATCCACACCATCGCTCTGGGGCCTTCCGCTGACCGAGAACTGGAGAGCCTGTCAACCATGACAGGTACAACTTTGGAGCAGGGTTTGGACAGATGTTCCTAAACTGGAAAGCTGTTTTCCTGTCACACCCTACCCCAGAACTCATAATTCCCTGCCTGGGTTACTTTGAAAACCTCCCAGTTGGCCTTTGTGGCATTTATTAGTTTAGTTACTATGCACGGATTGGTGTATTTCTGGTGTATTCTTGCCCTTGGGATCTATTCTTTCCTAACTCTTCATACCCAAGAAATCTCTCTTTCACTCACATCAATTATTTTCTGCATTTTGCCTATGTTTACTCTATTACAAACTGTCATCCTCTAATTGTCTAGGTGTATTTTGACCCAACTAAGAAATAAGCATCTGGTTCTCAGGAGCAACCATAAGACTCACCTTTAATAAAACCATTGGGTACTTAGGCCAATTTGACTAATGCACTTATATTTGACAATTAGCTCACATAAAAGAATGAAATTTGCCTTATTCTTACATTTTCCATTTATCTTTATCTTACCTTTTTGAATACAGTTTTGGTTAATATAAATTTACAGTAACTTCAGAGAGGCGCTCAACATCCATGAGATTCTTAGAAACTCATGTTTTGTAGCGTGTTAGTTCATACAGGCCAATGAGACAGCTCAGGGAGTAAAGGTGTTCACCTCCAAACTCGGAGTTCAACCCCTGGAGCAACAGCGTGGAGGGAGAGAAGTAACTCCAACAAGCCGTCCTCGAACTTCCACGCATGCACGCGAAAATGCAGACACGATGCACACTCACACACACACTAAAACAAATGTAATTTTTAATTTAATAATAAAAAGGAAATGTCAAGTGGATTTTAAAATATATCACTGAAAGGACATTTGATTTTCTCATTTAAAACTCCCCTGTAGGAGGGCTTCGCTTTTATGCCAACAAAGACATAACTGGCCTCATGGATGCTTTCAGTGGGATTTCATCTACAAGTGGCAGCATCTCTGAGCAGGCTCTGCAGGTCAGTACTTTGTAAAAATACTTTCATTGCAATAAATTCCTATTATATTACTATTACATGTTGTCTCTCTAATAAATCAATTTTTGCCATAAAAAATATTTCCATTGTAAAATATACCATTAGTGAATTTTCTTTTTTATGACATAAACCTTTTCTCTTGCATTCTTCTATTTTTAGGGGTGTGTGTGTGTGTGTGAAGTGGAAAGCTGTTAACAATTCCCCATCTTAAAGTTAATTTTTGTCTCTTTCTTGACCTTCAGTTAAGTTCTTTCCTCTTTCTCCACTTCTTAACTCATTCAGTACCTGCTGTTTTCATTCATTCTTTATCCACTTTCTATTCATCTCACCAACGAGAAACTTCTCTATGGTTACTCAAATACAAGTCCAAAATATTTGCTCAATTCTGAAATACCATTCAGTCCCACAGTAAAGATTTAGACATGACACCTTTCAGGTAAGGAGTACGTGAGTACGTACCTATGTACATACATGCGTGCGTGCGTGCGTGCGTGCGTGCGTGCATGCGTGCGTGCGTGCGTGCGTGCGTGTGCGTGTGCGTGTGCGTGTGCGTGTGTGTGTGTGTGCATGTGCATTTGTGCTTCAGAATCTGTGAAGAAAGACACTCACTATATCTGGATATGATAGTGGATGCTTGTAATCCCAGTACCCAAGAGGCCGAGGAAGGAGGATCACAAGATCATGACCAGTGTGGGCTACATAGAGTGTGTGTGTGTGTGTGTGTGTGTGTGTGTGTGTGTGTGTGTGTAATATTTGTTTAAGCTGCAAAGATGTGTTACATTTCTTTATGCTGCATTTGTTAACTATATAAAGATACATTGCATTTGTGCTAATTACATAAAATTAAACTGGGCTCAGTGAGGTGGGGTTAGCAACTGGTTGACAGGAAATGGGGTTTTTTAGTTGGGGTGTTGTGGAAGGGAATGACTTCCAGGATGCCAGCAAAGAGAGAAGGTTAGCCAGTTGCTATTCTAATTCTCTGAGCTCACAGGTCTTCACCCCAGCCTTTGAATCTAGAGTTTTATTAGAATGATAGATTTAGTTAGAATTACCTTTAGAGGCAGAAACAGAGCCATTGTCTGGGGAACAGAATTCCCCCAAAGCTACAGCATTAGCAGCCAGACCACTAATATGTTTAAAGCACAGCCACTGTGAGGAAGATAAAACAATGTGTGTGTGTGTGTGTGTGTGTGTGTGTG